CTCAACACCAGTGTTTCTTACCACCTGAAGTACATTCAGGAGGTATCAGCCTTCCTGAAAAACAAGTGATTATAGCAGTCAAGATAGAATCAAGCTGCGAGGCTGGCTCTTCCAGTTGCAGAGGCTGGCTTATTAAGAAGTAATGCCTGTTCCTTTAGGGTAGCTCCCATGCAAGGAAGCTTTCTAGCCTTGGGGAGTCCGGCCCTAGGCATTGGAAGAGGGAATGAAGATTTCTTTTCCAAATGAGGTTGTCAGGGAGCTCATTTGCACCGCCCAGCGAGTGTGTGTGGGCGAGCTGATGAAGGTGATGATTTATGAGGCTGCAGACCCTTAAGTGATTCTAGTGATGGAAATCCACAGCAAAATCCACTTAGGAAGATAAAACAGACCTCCTGTTATCTGTGGGAGGTAAAACCACATGGCTTTTGCCCTTACATTTCAAGTTACCCTACTGCGTTTGGGGATAGAGAGCGCTCATTTGCTGAGAATGCATGTTTCAGTATAACATTATTATTCAGACTTTAAAAATAACTTTATGTTCATTGAATCTCCCTGAAAGGATTTTGACAAGACTTTTTTTTTTTTTGCTTTTTTGGAAGGGGTGGGTGAGGACTAGATCTGATCGATGGCATCATTGATAGCTATGTGATATATCCATGTTTAAAACATCTAAATGTGAACGGACAAATAGCAGCCCTCTCTCTGCAAAGGCAGTGGATATGCTCTTTGGAGAAGCACAGCTGCAGGAAATAATGTTTCACAAGGCTAGGCTACCTATGTAAACAGACTTGTTTAACGAGTGTGGCCATCACCAGTTCATGTCTTCAGAGTATTGTTAAAAAAAGAGAGAAAGAATCTGGGCCCAAACGCTGTACAATGATAAAGCCAAAATGAAAATTGTGTTTTAGCTTATTTCCTTGTATTTTGTGTGCTTGCTCCTTAAATGCCAAGAAAATCTATTTTAAGAGTCTGGTGAGGATTTGTAGGCTTTGATCTTAAAACTGAGAGTATGTTTGTAATATCCCATTTTAGTAGCAGAGTGTGAATTTCAGACACAGAGTCCCCATTACACGTCTCCATCAGCAAGGCCAAGGGCGCAGACCCATCGCAGGCCGGTGGCGACGGCCACTCCACATGTGCACAGGCGTTTTTGCAGAGTACACGGTGGACACCTAGAGAGCGCTTCAGGGTGGCCCGCCTCTGGCTTTCAGCGTCGGGGAGCCACCACCCACTGACACTGCCTTACCTGTAACGGAACAGAGCTCCTCACTCATGCTCATCTGTGCACAGATTATCATATACTGCTTCGCGGTGGAAACGGTGAACATGAACTTGTTACAGCTACATTACCCTGTGCCGCGTTTATTTCCTTTTACAAGACGGCCTACTTCTGCCACCGCAGATTCACAGAGCACTCCTTACTGCGTCTGCGGTCCGAGGCATCCCGGGGCAAGCCCCGCTTTCGGTTTTCTTGCAAAAGGGATTGATCAAATTTTATCCTCACCTATTTCCAGAGTCCAGAAGAATGTGGCCGACCCGTGTATTTTATGTCGCTGTGATAAAAAGCATGAATTTATGTATTTGCAAGCAAACATTATAGATGTGAATTCATATCAGTTCCCTTGACATCAAGGAAATATTACAAAAAAAAATAAAAGGAGTCAGCTAAGGTTTCAGTTTGCTTTGCATATCTTTTTAACTCTTCTGATGCTTGATATCTAGCTTTAGCTTAATTTTTTTTCAAACAAGTAACTAGGTAATCTCTACAGGGTGCCCTAGGTTTTCAAGACAATATTCAATTGGCTTTTATCATCTTTGCTCTGAGCAACTATAGTAATTAATTTCATTGTACACAAATGCATAATAAAAACATTACGATGCAAAAAAATTTTAAACCCCCAGGAATTACAGAAGGTAAACACAGATTCTCAGGACCTAGAGTTGAATCATCAGGGTTGTATTTTAAATGAGAATATGTTTTAAATTAAAAAATTATGATTTTTTAAACAAAACCATTTACAATTAGTAGGATTAACCCTTTTCAACTAGACCAACTTGTAAGTATAATGCCAAAAAGCTGGTAATTCACCATTTACCTGTGTTAAAAATCGTACAGTTGTATCAATATATTTTTATGAAATGTTGATATTATATACTGGCACAGAAAGGCAGGCCTGAGCCACAGGAGACAGTCAAGTAACATAACTGAGAAGTGAGTTTATGTGAAAATGTATAGAGTTTCATGTGGTCATCTTATCACTCTTAAAAATCAGTTTCTACTTTAATGCAGTGCCACAGTGTCACGGTGCTGTTCGAGAACCGGAAAATTCACATAAAAATGTCCTGTCAGATGTTCGTTTTAAGTATTTTTCAAAAGCCACATGTTGAAAAAAGTGATTTTCTGCCCTGGCTGGCGTAGCTCAGTGGACTGGGCACAGGCTGCGAACCAAAGTGTCGCAGGTTCTTTTCCCAGTCAGGGCACATTCCTGGGTTGCAGACCATGGCCCCCAGCAACCGCACATTGATGTTTCTCTCTCTCTCTCTCTCTCTCCCCTCCCTTCCCTCTCTAAAAATAAATAAATAAAAATCTTAAAAACAAAGTGATTTCCCAGAAACACCCTTCATACCATGGACGTCTCCTGTCATCAGGTCTCAGCGCGACCCCCACAGTGGTCTTGTGAGCTGGGCAGAGGTCCCTGTCCCCACCGGCGAGATGGGGAAACTGAGGTTCCGGGGGGGTGGAGCCGCTCGAATCTGGCTGCCTACATTACACATGCCTCTTTTTTTCTAATACAAGGAAAATCTATCTCACATTTTGCTCTGACCTATGTATTTTTGGAGACCACACGCAGGAGCGTCATCTCCCTCCGAGACCCTGAGCCAAATGGGCCCCGGGCAGGCACGGCATGAGTTACAGCTGCGGAAGCTCACCGTCTTCTTCCTAACGCCGCCTTCACATCCGGCTCAAGGGAAAAAAAAAAACAGAGTGAAATAAACAGAACGAAGCATTTTACCTGACATAAAATAAACTCCTGAAATATTTATTTTCATATTGGTCCATTTAATAACTTATTTATTAGACAGTATAACCAAATGACAGCCTTATGTAATAAAGTTGTAAATACAAAGAAATAACGTGTGTACCATATTTATAAGCAATAAAAATACGAAGTACTGATATATCTTTCAGTCTCTGAAGTGCGATGCTGTCCTCTAATGAGGTGTGCTGTTGATTTCGACTGGAACGGAAGGTTCGGGAAAGGAGAGCCAAGGACCAACTAACTAAAGGCGATGGGACGAGAAGACGCACGAGCCGGCTTCCCGCTGTTGGCGTCAGCGGCCTTCCTGACGGCGGCGCTCTTGCAGGGAGGCACCCCCGCGCCTGGCAGAGCCCCAGCGCCCCAGAGGCCTCCCGTGGATGTCTCTGCATACCCCGCCCCCTCGTAAAAGGGAACAGCATCTTAATCCAAATTCAGTTCTGCACCCCACTGTTCTCCTCCCCGAAGGCCAGGGAGACGCAGACCCCTAGTCCAACCGCAGTTGTTCCTCTGCATGACGCGCACTGCGTGTCCGTCTGGGAAACGGGGCCCGACGCGGCTCCACCCTCGGACGCGCGTTCGTCGACTCCGTATCCTCACAGGTCAGCTTCCTTTTATCCCTGGTCTCTGGCTGAAACATCGAGTTGGAACTTGAACCATGGCAACGGTTAGATATGATGAAAAGTAGATCGCCTTATCCCAAAAGCATTTTTGAATGCTGTCTTTTTGCACAGATCTCCCCCCCACAAATTGTCCTGTGTGAAAAATGGTATGTACAGGTTGAAGTGTGCGAGGTGCGCATCTCCCATCTGGACCCGGCCCCGTCCAGACCTGCATGCGGAGGTGTGTTTGCGCCTGTGACTGCTGGACAGGCGGGGTAGGGAGTCGCTTCCGGCTAGTCCTTGACCCTTGACCGATACTGACACGCAATCTGAGAGCTGGGACACGAGGTGAAGGGAGAAGAGCAAGCCAAACATCGAACCCATTTATTCTGAATCTTAAATTATGAGTGTTTATCGTCAATATTTTGGTTACATTGTTACACAAAGGACAAACGAACATCCGGTTTGAGGTCTCTTCTTCGACGGCTTTGGGATTAGTGACACGTCCCTGGCAAAGGAATCCTGGACCCATCAACTCGCAGCTGGATTGTCATAACATCGCTGTACACGGTGGCAGCGCAGGACGGATTTGAGCGCCAGCTCCCAGGGCGCCTCTGGCCCACAGCTGTAACCACTGAGACGCGCACGAGGCTTCCAGCCCGGGGCGCACGGGGGCGTGGCCACGCCCCCCTCCTGGGCCAATCAGAAGGTCATCCCATCCCGGGAGAGCGGCTGCCCTGTGGTCTTTGCAGCGTCTGATCCCCGGTGTGCTCACGCAGAGTGGACCCCAAATCAACCATGCACGCTGCTGGGAAAGACCCAGGCCCCTCGGCCAGGGCGCCACGGACTCAGGAGACCAGGTCGCACAGCTCCTGTTTTCAGCTTGGGTGATCCAGGACACCTGGGAACATCGGGTGTTCACCGTATTCCAGAAAGTAAATTAAAAACAACAACAACAAAAAAATCCAGGTTGCTAGTTCTGAAGGGGCCTCTGAGAGGGTCTCTTTGAAAGAAGCAGCGCGACTGTCCATCTGTCGTTTTTCCTTTGAGGTGCAGGTCCCTTTTGTTTGGCTTGGCCTGGTCCGAAACAAAACACACACAGGCATCGTTCGTTTGGTTTGGTCTGGTCTCATCCAGGAATGCCACGTATACACGTTCTCTCCCTCGCCCCAGCACGGAGAATAAAGGCGGGGGTGCGGAGGGAGAGCTGAAGGAGGACAGAAAAGTAAAGCTGTTCGAGGAAAACACACACACACACACACACAGACAGTACAGAACAAGCGTCGCAGTGCCATCGTGCAAAACTTGCTTCTCCAGATAAAGCACTTCCGGACAGGTTCACAACGCCCCCTTCCCCCGCCCGAGTCCCCCCGTCCTCCCCAGGAAACACACACAACAAAAGCGATGCCGTCCTTTTTCTTAAGGCTGAACAGACACACGGAGACCACGGTTCCGGCTGGCTGCCGAGGGGACTCGCAGGGCTCCTGCTCTGGGCGCCGCCCGCAGCCTGCCGTCAGCCATCCTGAGGTCTGGGCAGGGCAGCCACGGGGCATCCAGACAACCGAAGAAACGCCAGTGGTCCCCACCGTAAAATCCCAGATCGACTTTACAATCACAGGTACAAATTGCTCAGATCAATAACACCATTTCTCCTGAAGACCTTGTCATCTAAAACTAATTAGAGGCCAGGTTCCCGAGGAATGGTCAATACTCAAGGAAAATACTGGAGATGTGGAAGGAAATCATTCTTCTACCGCAACACGGTCTGATGGAATTTGGAAACGAGTCGTCCTGGTTTGGCCAAGTCCGGGGGGTGAGGGAGGGTGGGTTCCTGGGTCCCGGTGGCAACTCTCCTGCCGCCCCAGCGCTGCCTTTATAGAGGGAACACCAAGAAGCCCGAGAACGTGGAGTACTTCCAGCCGCCCATGAGGTTGCCCCGCTCCAGTTTGAGGTGCACCTTGTCCTCTCTCTCCATCAGCAGCAGGACCCCGTTGCTGGCCGCTTCTCTGGTCACGTCCTGGTCCCCGGCGAACGCTGAGATCACCGGGTAGCCGTTCTGCATTAAACTGACCTGCAACGCAAGGAGTAAAGCTCAGCAGACCACGCAGACGCACCTGTTCTCACGCACCCGTCCTCTTCTCCCCCACCCCTCCCCAACCCTCTCCACGGAGGCCATCCCTGGGGCCCGACCAGAGGGCCCAGCTGGGTCCCGGCCCCGGGTGCCGGCCAGCCCCCGGGCCTCACAGAGGGGGTGAGGGGGTGCTGCAGTCATGGGGGACGAGCACCCCGAAGCTGAACGGTGCAGCTTCCGGAGCTACCCACCTGGATGGTCTGTCTGTTGTACACTTTCACCACGTGGAAGCTGAAGCTATAAATCCCTTTTCTCGGCGCCACAAATATACTGGAGGCGAGATCGAAATGGTTGCCAATATTTACTAACACCTGAAAAAGAAGAGGGAACACAGCACCGACATAGCGAGCCCCCCCCCCACCTGGCCCCGCGGCGTGTGATCAGGCAGGTGCAAGGGTGGCCCCAGGGCCCAGTCCTGTGCCCTGCCTGCGCAGGGGGCTGTGGGGGAGGGGCCGCCGCAGGGAACACGCCTACAGGGGAGTGGTCGAGTGGCTGCAAAGGTGCTCTAACACATGGTGACGCATGAAGATTTTTTACAGTGTATCCGTTTAGGAGTTGAAAGGGGGTGCTGGCTTTGTGCACGGGGAGCAGGGCAGAGGGAAAGGAAGGCAGGGATGTCAGAAAACAAACTGGGAAGCGAGTCTGTTCAGAGGTGCGTGGGGCTGACACGGAGCTGTGACGGAAACCAGTGGGCCAGACCGCACGGCTGCGGAACGGGCCGTGGGGCAGGAGGCCAGTGAAATGCAGTCACGTTCTCCAGCTGAAGCCGGGGACCTAACTCCCCGTGCTCCGGGACAGCAGGGACTGCGCGAAGTTTGGGTCTCCGAGTTCCCCCAGCCCCAGCACGCACCCTGGCAGCATACAGTAGGTGCTCAATAATGCCTGCTGAGCGAAAGACTGCGGTCCCTAAGCACGGGCTGTGCCTGCTGCCCTCTCTCTCCCCCGAGTGACGCCTGCTTCCTTGGGTGGGCTATGATGTCAGGCAACGAGCCTGAATACACAGCAGGAGCGTCCACCCAGCAGCTGGGACACCTTTGGCTCAACCCCAGAAATTCCACCACAAGCGAGAGTAACGACCAATCCGGCCCCGGGACCCGAGGTCACGTGGCCCCGCAGACGGTTCTCCTCCAATCAGAGAGGACGGGAGCGCGGCACCGTGAGCAGAACCTGAAGGAGGGAGGGTCCCCCATGGTCACCCAGTTCTGCTTCAGTTGCTGAGGACGGGGCTGGGCCGCTCTGCCCGGATCCCGTCCCCACTCCCACTCCCACTCCCACTCGCACACACAGGCACGACCTGGGTGAACGCACCAGAATGGCCTGCCCGGTGTTCTCAGCGTTTAAGACAAACAGCCAGCAACAGCAACACAGCCCTGGATGAGAGAGCCTGTCATCCGTTCAGAAAATAAATGTCATCTGAATACATTCTGCGGTGGTGTCTCAGGCACTCACTGTAGACGGATGGCAGGCGGTGCCCGCAGCGCCGTGGACCGCTGCGGCAGGCAGGGCTGCGGGCGGCACTCGGGAGCCGGCCGGCACCGGAGCTGGAGCCGGGCGCCACCGCGGCCCCAGTCTGCGGGGCTGGCACAGACGCCCGGGCTCCGTGGTTAAAGACGGCAGACCACGCTGTTCTCAGCCTCCCCAGGGCTGCGCCTCCGTTGGCCTCCCGATGCTTCGAACAGAGCAAAGTGTTCCCCATTCAAGCCCTCGCAGCTGCTTCTGCCTACTCTTCACGGCTCACCTCTGTGCTAAAGCCAGGAACCCGGCAGTTGCAGGCCGCTGCTGTGGGGTCAGGGACTCCCAAGCAGCTCAGAAAAGCAGGCTGCTTCTCCCTAACCGGGGGCACCCCATTCCACCCGCCCGGCCGTAGGCTCCTCATGCACCCACAGGAGAATCCTGCTACCACTCATCCTGCCCTGCGTCACCGTTTCCTTGACACCCGGATGGAGCGATGGACATACAAAGGCTGTGAAACTATTGGTAGGACGTTGGAAGGTGAATTTTCCCAGCTGCCTAGTTCTTGCCCTCCCCTTGATGTGACCATCATCAAAGTAAACATGCTTGTGTCTTGTAAACAAAAACAGATTAAAGACAGACTCCCTCCCGCCACCATCCCAAATCCCCCAAAACTCCAAGTCTGTGCACACTTCCTAAGATAAATGAACACACGGGCCTAGAATGAGGCAGGCGTGTGCGCACGCAGGTGTCCTGGCACTCGGGTGTGAGAGCCGGTTGGAGGGCAAGTCCAAGTGCGGACGCTTGGCCCCATGTGCTGTCGCGGCCAAGAGGGCCCCGTTTGGGAAAAGCATTTCGTCAAAAGTAAGGGACCGATGAGTTCACGTTCGGAGAGCACTGTTCAGTTTCCCATTTGCCTCTGAACGGCCACAGACACGGATGGGGTGAACGCCAAAGTAAGGTCACGACCTCTCATCCTGAGCAGCCAGGAGCCAGAGACGGGATGGCCAGGGATGGCCAAGGAGGATTGTGCTGGTGACCCTCTGGCCTTGACCCACGTGGGAGAAGTTAAGTGGGTGAGGACAGTTCAAGTCACTGGCCTTTTTGTTTAAATCCCTCTAACCGCACCACATATTGATATGTTGTAGATATCGTATTCATAGATTACACTGTGTCTACTGTTTTCACCACATACTGCCTGGAAATAACCACAGGCTCTTTCGTATTTATATAATCGTCCCTGTGCTTTCCCCCACATTCTTGCCTACTTGTTTTTCTTGGAGATAAATATCCTCAGCCCCTTGCAAAATAAGCACTAGGTGCGTCTTTTCTGAGCCCCGGCTGAGACCTCCTAAGAGCCCTTTCCGGGGCCTGGGGAGTTACAAATGCTCAGTCTCTGTGTTGGCCACCAGGGCCACTGAAGCCCGTTGCGACAAATGACAGCCCCACCACAACGGAAAGGGGAAAGGGCAGTGCCCTTTTGGGAAATACATTTCTGATCTCTTCACTTTTCTGGGACTCTCGGTCACCCAAATGCTACCTGAGCTGGCAGTTGCAAGGAGACGACCATGTGAGAAGGGAAATGGCGAGGAGAGCTCCCTGGGAACGGGAGGGAGAAGAGAGGGGGTCAGGGCAGGGCAGAGAGAAGGGAAGAGGAAGAGCCTGGACCTCCAGGTCCAGGGCGCTGGGAGCCCCGGCCGGCCGGAGCGCCCCGGCCCCCCTGTCCTCCCCCGCGAGGGAGGCACCGCGCGCAGACCTGCCGGCTGACCTGGTCGAAGTAGATGGTCATGGTGCGATTGCTCATCTCCGACGGCTCGTGGTTGGTGCTCCGTGTGGCGGAGAAGGCCACCTTGGCGCTTCCGGAGCGCACGCTGATGCCCAGCGAGGAGGTGACCGCGCCGTCCGCCGACGGGCTGGAGTCGCACACCACCAAGCACTTGCCCTCCAGCACGATGGGCTCCGTGTCATTCTGAGCCCCCACTGGGCAGCCGGCGGGGAGCAGCAGCAGCAGCAGGGCCAGCGCCGCCCCCAGGCAGGAGCTGCAACCGGCCGGATCGCGCAGCGCCCCCCGCAGCCGGGGCATGGTTAGCGGCAGCCCGAGGAGGCCCCAGCCGGGCGCCGGTGTCCGGCCTGGGGCGCGCAGCACAGGGGACGGCGGCCGGCAGCGGCTGAAGCGGCTCAGGCGGTCCGGTGACACGCGGGGACCGGGGCAGCCTCCTCTGGCCGCGGTCCACTGCTCTGATGGTTAAGGCCAGGGTCGTCCTCAGGAGAAAAGCGCCAGCAGACCTGTCAGGGCAAAGAACCCAAACCCTTAGACTGGGAGGTGAAGCTGTGCGGGGAGGGAGTGCGGGGCGGGGCGGGGGCAGCTGCCTGCGGCGCAGCGCTGGGCCCCCTCGAGGGAGGTTACCCTCTCGGCCCCGCGCACGGCCAACCTCCTCCCCATCGGCACAACAGGTTCCGAGAAACGCCCCGGCGCCCTGGACAGGACATTCCTGAGAGCTCCCCCGCAGCGCGCCCTGGGTGGCTGGGGGTGGAGGAGTGGGAAGGGGGGGCTGGAGGTCAGGTCAGGGGCCCACGATTCTGCAGCTCCTCAGCGCTAAGACAGGGTGGAGGACCCTGGGGCACGGCGTTAAAGCCACCCCCACCTCCACTCGGCCTAAGGCAGAGGGGAGCTCGGGACTCAGGCAGAAGAAAACCCACTAATGCCGCATCGCCTTCATTTCAGAGCTGTTTTCTTGAGAGCCACACCAAGAAACCTTTTCCTTTTTCTGCTTTCCCTTTCATCCTCCTGTTTTCCCATCCTGAGGATTTCTAAAAAGCAGTCCACTCAAGTGAAGATCTTATCTATTTTCCGCTCAAAGGCCAAATCCCCAAGAAGCTCCTTAGGGTGATTACGAAAAAAAAAAAGAGAGAGAGAGATGGAGAGACCCCAGCGCAAACACCCACGTCCAGATCCCCGCAGCCAGCAGCGAGCGAGCGAGCGCCGCCGTGGAGAGTCCCCCGAGTCCCTCGGGCGCAGGGCGAGGATTCCAGCGGCCAGAGCCGCGAGCTGGGCTGATGGTGCCGCTTTTGTTTCCAGACCCCGGGCTCCCTCTCGCCGGGCTGGGAGGCGGCCCCGCGGCTCTCTGCTAACTTAACGCGCCGCCTGCACTTTCTCCAGCCCGCTCTGCTGCCCCTAAACCAGGCGGGTCGTTTCCATACCAAGCCCAGAAACAGAAAGCACGGGAGCCTCTCCCCGCGCCGCCCACGGCCTCCAAACAACTCCTCCAATAGTCTAAGAAGAGCGAAGTTGTGTCTCCAGGAGTAGCCTCCGTCCTCGGCCCCAGATAAAACGCTGTTGATATTCTCGGAGGCTTCCCCGATGCCCAGAGGAAGACTAGCGACTGTCCCCATTGCAATGCTCGTATGAATGCAATTAGCGCGCGGATCGCGGAGTGCAGGGCCGGGTCGGTTACCTGCAACAGCCATGACGAGCGAGCACTGGTCGCTGTCCGCCAAGTTCTGCTCGCTCTGAGGTGACGAGCAGAGCTGGCGGGAGGAGACGCCGGGCACGACCCGACCCTGCTGCCTGCGCCTGGCCAATGCAACGCCGCCCCGCCCTGCCCTTCTCCCGCACCAGCCGTCCCCGGGGCCCCACGCACCGCGCCCTGCCCCGACCTGCACCCCGCGCGCGCGCGCGCGCCCCAAACCGCACCGCGATCCACTCCGCGTCCAGCACCGCCTGCGCCGGTGCTTCACACCCCTACGCTCCGCGCCCCGCAGCGCACCTGGTCCGCACCGCCTCCCGTACCGGGTCCGCAACGCTCCCGCGCCCGCAGCGCGGCTCTCTCTCCCCGCCCCAGCCCCACAGTCCCGGCCTCTCCGCCGGTCTCCAGTCCGCACAACCTGACGCCGGCGCCCGGCTCGGGCCCGCTTCCGCCTCCCCGCCCGCACCCTGCACAGCTCGGTCCAGCTCTCACCCTCACCCTGAGAGCAAAATCCTACCGGACGGACGTCTCTTTCAGAAATTAGGCATCGTCAAAAGCACTGGTCACGCCTCTGATACTCGAGTCTTTCTTTTCTTTTCCAAATTCCCTCCAAATCTCAATCCTCAGCAGCGTTACCACTTTCATAATTGGAGGGTGGGGAAGGGGAGCAGTTTTATTGCAATAATAATAATAATAATAATAATAATAATAATAATAATAATAATAATTGGTTCGAAGAGGAAAAGGCTTGGGATTTCAGTGGTTGAAAGGCTGCGGTCCCGGAGTCTCCGGTTTGGGACACGGCGGGATTCGGCTGGGATGCTGGAGGCGCCTCCACCGGGGCTTCTGCGCGGCTCCTCTGGACCTCGGGGCTGGCGGAGCAGCGCGCCGGCGCTCGCGCAGATTTATTAAAACGCCCGTTCGAGCTCCACGGGCCTGGAGAGGCGCGCGGGGTTTCCCAGCTGCGCCCGGAACGCGGCAAGAGCACAAGCGCGGGCACGGGGCGCCACCTATGGGCGCCGGGGTCTCCCTGCCGCGGGCTCGGGAGGAGCGGGGAAGCCCTAGGAACAAGGATGGGGTTTGCTGATAGTCTTCGGTGACCCTCAGACACACTCCCAGCCTCTGCAAAAAAAAAAAAAAAAAAATACAACGAACGATCTTTTTTGCACCCTTGCTCCCGACAAAGTGAACTGGCATGCTCGAGGTCCTCGCTCTCACAAACAACTCTGCCCAGGTGCTGCAGGCTGCAGCCGGCTCCCACGGTGCCTTCCTCGGCCAAACCTCTGCGCAGTCCCAGGCGGTCCACTCCAGGCCTCTCTCAGACAGAGACAGTATGTGGCTGGGCACTCCCTCTGTAACCTGACTTCCAAAAATATCCTTGAAAAACACTCAATCCTCTGACCTGCACAGTATTCCTTTGCGGATAGGCTGACCAAAAATAAGCCATAAACCGGACAATGCTGAGCATAAGAACAGAACGGAAGTATTTCTTACTCCTCTGGACTGCACGCCAGACCCTCTTCCATTTGTAGGTTGCAGCCAGACTCCTGGCTCCACCCTGCAACCTGGGTCTTCTCAGGTAGGGGGCTTTCACGGCCTGGTTTTTCAGGCTCTGCCAGGACTCTTCTCCCCACTGGCTCTGCCGGGGCCTCATCGCTAGGCACCGAAGAGGAAATGCGCTTGCACCAGTTCAGCCTGAACGGACGCGGAGGGAGACACGGTCGCGCGCCAACAGAATTCCATAGTGTTATCCGAGATCATTACAAAGTGCGGTGGTGAAGATCTGATCACCAGAACCTTGGAGCCTAGTGGTGTCTGCTTCTCATGAAAAATAGTACAAAGTAAAAAAAAAAAAAAAATAAAAATAAAAATAGCCCCCAAACCTGTTCTCCTCCTAAGACTAGTTGCTGAAAATTAAGTGTTTTGCTTCGGCATTTTTATGACATGCTGGTCAGATGTGCTGGACTTTGAAACTTCTTCAAAGCCACTATGTTTTGCTACTATTTTTTTTGTGAGGTTCACAGAATGGAAACTGTTCACTCTTGCTTTCAGATCGTGACTGTAGTCAAATATTGCATCAATTTGACAACCACGTATTGCCACTATCAGCACAGCCCCATTATTCCATTACAGAGAGCTCCGATTTGACTGCGAGCATGAATAGCAAGGGACATTACTCAAGGCACAGACTGATAATTAGACCAAGTTGGGAATGCTAATTAAGTAGCAATACCTCTCACACATCTATAAATCTTTAAGTAACAGCTCTGTTAAGCAACTGCTTTCAATGGTGTGTCGTGAGCATTTCCTCCCACTGATACGAATGCAAACACACATGAACCAGAATATTATCGTTATCTCTGGGGTAATAGAACCAAAACCTTTTTCCAGGTGGCAAGAAAATGTAAAAACCTCTAATCTATATGATGAGCTCAGTTATAGAATTAGAGCACTGAGCATTCTTATATGATGAAAAAAAAACAGGTAGGCTTACTTACAATTATTTTGAGAAGGAAGTCGATAAGGATGAAGAGTAGCAGACTGACAGAGATGGAACATTATCTGCTGATGAAGTGACTTCTGTCTATAAGGAGACAGTTAACTTGTGATAACTTTAACCCATAAACATGCTTAGACAAATGTTTATAATATAACTGGATTTAAAAATGAAAATGTTTTCTAGTTACTGCAGGGATTCACTTTTTTTGTCCCATTTCCATGTTACGAGTCATCGGTTCCATCAGCACAGAACAGGAGTGTCTCATAAGTGTGGGCGCACGCCCACAGACGGCCACAGTGTCCAGCACTTACTGGGCATCTGTCGTGCGTCAGATACTCTCTGGGATGTACCACACAGCTTACCACCCATGGTTGCCCTGTGGTAGGCAGCTGGCCACAGAGAGTCTCAGAGGAAAGTATTCTAATATGTCGGGTTGGCCAAAAAGTTCATTTGGGTTTTTTTGTTTGTTTTTCTTTTCCATAACATGGTTCCAGTAGTGCTCAGTTGTCTTTCACTTGATTCAAAACAATTTTGTTAGACTGCATTGTGACAGCTGTCCTATCAGCATGCATTTGTGAAAAAATTGTGAAAATTGGTGAATTTTTGTATAGCCATTTTAATATTGAAGATGGAAGAAAATAAGTGAAATTTTGGTGTATTATGCTTTATTATTTTAAGAAAGGTAAAAATGCACCTGAAATGCAAAAAAGAGAAGGATTTGTGCAGTGTAGGGAGAAGGTGCTGTGACTGATCCAATGTGTCAAAAGTGGTTTGTGAAGTTTTGTGCTGGGGATTCCTCGCTGGATGATGCCCCACAGGTCGGGCGGACCAGAGGAAGCTGATAGTGATCGAATCAACCTTATTGAGAACAATCAATGTTATACCAAGTGGGAGACAGCTGACATCCTCAAAATAGCCACATCAATCAAGTTATTGGTGGAAATGAAAGATGCGTCTTTTATTTTACTGAAAACACCACTCTAACTTTTTGGCCAACCCAATGTTTTTTCTTTTTTTTTAAGATTTTATTTATTTATTTTTAGAGAGGGAAAGGAGGGGGAAAGAGAGAGAAAGAAACATCAATGTGCGGTTGCTGGGGGCCGTGCCCTGCAGCCCAGGCATGTGCCCTGACTGGGAATCGAACCTGCGATGCTTTGGTTTGCAGCCCTCACTCAATCCACTGAGCTACGCCAGCCAGGGCTACTTTCTTAATTTTTAATGACTGAATGTGTTCGATGGTGTCTATGAACCACGTTTCCTTTATCCACCCATCTATTGAAGGGCATCTGGGTTGTTCTCATATCTTTTTTTAAAGGTTTTCATTTATTTATTTTTAGAGAAGTGAGAGGAGGGAGGAAGAGAGGGAGAGAAACATCACTGTGTGGTTGCCTCTCCCGTGCCCCCTACTGGGGACCTGGCCCGCAACCCAAGCATGTGCCCTGACTGGGAATCAAACCAGAGACTCTGTGGTTCACAAACTGGCATTCAATCCACTGAGCTGCACCAGCCAGGGCCCAAGTTGCTTGTTAATTTAAAGCTGTGTAACAGCAAAGAAGAGAACAAGTACTCAGTGCTATATGGGCACCTGAATCTACTGAATTAACAGGGTAAGAAGAAAATCTTCAAAAATTGGAACCGGTTCTAATTCAGTTCAACAACAACAAAGAACAAACAGGAAAAGTTTGTCTTTATAAATGACAGGTTTGTAATTGTTGACCGACATTGCTAAATAATCAAAATCATCTGGGCAAAATGGGTAAAACTTTACCAATAGTTAAAAATTCCAGGTTAGCTGAATGCAAGTCGGTAAGCCTGTTTGCACCATGTAGTCCTATCGTACAAAACAAACGACCTCTGTCATTAAAAGAGAATACTGAACTGTCTCAAGCACCATACACTGGCTATTGCTTTCTGATGTACATTCAACATTTAATACACAGCCTTTACAAGTGCGGTTTTTAATTCAACTTTCGTTAGCAAACTGATGAGGTACAGAGCCACCCTGGACCCCAGTGGGACACTATTTCTACAGTGTTCGAAAAGGAACACTTTCTGTTGTTCTAGAATGCCTTTTAAGCTTAAAAAAATAAGGTCAATGACCTATTTGAGGGCAAGTCACACTAGGGTTTATGAGACCTTCTGAGGCGAGGGTATTGCAAACATTCAAAGTGATCTAATTTCCTGTTAACCTCAGTGTCTCCTGCTACTTGATTCTTAATCATGCCTATCTTAAAATTATTATAGAGAAAAGTTAGTAATTTAATAGACTTGCAACATTTACAGTATGTACACCAGCAGCCATGAAGACTATTGATGGGGAAAAAACTCATCTTTTTTTTCCAGCCATGTCTCATTGTCTTGTGTAATCCTAATATTTAATTTATTCTATTTTATGGTAGGCAGTGTCTCTATTGTTTTACCAAATTGGGTCAAATGCCTCCTGTTAGTCATGTTAATCCTATCAAAACAGAAGTCTTTATAAACAAGGATGCCATTTGTCAACTCCTATTTCTCAATGAGGGACAGATGACGGGATTGCAGAAGGAAAGTTGCTTCCGCAGGCTCCCGCTACAAGAACCCCAGCAGCCCAGAAAAGAGAAGAGAACCGTTCATGTGTAGCTACAGCATTTCCTGGATTTTTAAAGATTTTATTTATTTATTTTTGGAGAGGGAAAGAAGGGAGATAGAGAGAGAGAGAGAGAGAGAGAGAGACATCAATGTGCAGTTGCTGGGGGTTATGGCCTGCAACCCAGGCATGTACCTTGGCTGGGAATCAAACCTGCGACACCTTGGTTCGCAAGCCCGTGCTCAATCCACTGACCTACGCCAGCCAGGACCCGTTTCCTGGATTTTTATTTAAATGCTCTTTCTTTGTGATCCAACTGTGTACATTCTGGAATCAGCTACATGTACGTTTCCAAGAATCTTTATATTTGGAATATTTTGAATGCATGTCATATACATAAATCATATTTTTTTCTTAGAAACTAGTTTCAGAATAATAGCATGCATAATTTAAAAAGAAAACAAACATTCTAGCTCTTATACTTTCAGAAACATTCTATGAAGTTAAAGGTCAGTGTGTGTTTGCCTCTCAAATGCCCTCCTGGAAGAATAAATTATAAAGGCATGTGGTAGTTGTAACTGTTCAATATGCTTTCAGCCCCAAAATTTTGGAGCTAAACCTAAAATACTTTT